GGTGGGGCTGGCAGGGCAGGCCCGGGAATTGAACTCCCAGCCCCTGTGTTTGCCTACGCAGGCACTTTAATCCGCTGAGCTATTTGGCCAGCCCTGAGCTATTTGGCCGGCCCTGTAAATTCTTTAAAAACAGCCAATGAGATTGAAGTGTAGCTCCATGGTAGAACACTTGCTTAGCATGTGCAAGTGTGAAGCCCTGGGTTCTATCAAGAGCACACACACACAAATATACAAGCAAAGCACCTTTGAAAATACCACAAAGAGCCGGGCATGGTGACACATGCCTGTAAGCCCTGCGCTCAGGAAGCTGAGGCAGGATGATTGCTGTGAGTTGGAGGCCAGCCTGGGCTGCCCAGTGAGCTTAAGGCCAGCTTTAACTATGTAGCGAGACCCTGTCTCAAAACAATAAAAACCAAAACACTCCCACAAAGTCTATATTGTAGCATAGATCTTCTTCAGTCTCAAAACTATTCTTTCAGATTTTTGTGGACGTAAGGGCACATAAAATAAAAAACAAATTGCAAGGACTTCTGTTCTCCAGATGTCAAATCTGTCCTTGTCACCTCTGCTTCTGCTGGGAGACGTGGGGAGAAGCCTGGGCCCTGTCTTCTGTGTCTCTTAGTCACCAGGCACTAGCACTCTGGCAGCCCATGGTTGTATGTGCTCAGCCCTGGTGACGAAATGCAGGATTGAAAAGATGTAATCCTGTGCCCTAGCCTCCCTCACCCTCCCACCCAGCCCAACATGCTCGTAGGAAAGTAGACTTTACACACACACACATACACACAACATCTAATCAAATTTTTTGTCAAAATCCATTTTAATGCCTGGTAAGCGCAGGGTCCTGAGTTCAATCCCTGGTACTGCCAAAAAAAAAAAAAAAAAAAAAAAACCATTTTCATGACCAAGTATCAGATGGTTTGAATAAGCTACTTTCTTAGGCTTTTTGTTTTTGTTTTGTCTTGTTTTGTTTTCCCGAGAAGATGGAGAACTTCTTACCGACACTGACTGCAGAAGCTGTGTACCAGCAGTACCAAACCAAAACCCAAAAACTGGAAGTCTGTGTGCCCACAGTTATCCTCTTGGTTTTGCTTTTTGAAACCACCTCAACCAGTACAGAGAACAGTCCGGGAGGGGTTTAGAATGAAACAAAATATAAACCTAATCTTCATATTCTGGTTCCTGGAAAGGACAGCTGGAGAAGAGAATATCCTCCTTTCTACTCTCCTTCATTTACTCCGGACCACTCGGCATCCAAAAAAAAAAAATTGTTTTGCTTCTAGACCAGCTCATGTCCCAAATCAGGGGCGCAGGGGTGGGGTTGGGGGTCAGAAGACTGCTGATCTATTCTAGGGCAGAGGAAGATGATGTATTATTTAAACTACTGCTGGGTGCTTCCTCTGAGATTCCTTCTCTGCTCATTTGCCTGAAAGCATGGGCTTCTTCGTGAGGCCTTGCTGTGTGAATAAAAATGTTCTCTGAGGTTCCGAAGGACTCTCTCCTTGCCCCCACAGGTCCACCAGTCTGCAGCAGGAGCTCTTGGTGAAGATCAGCTCCCAAATTTGCACAGGACCCCAGACATGGTGGTGTACACCTGTAAATCCAGCAGTCTTGGAGCCTGAGGCGGAAGGATTGCAAATCCAAGCCATGCCTGGGCAACTTAATGTCTTAGTGAGATTTGTCTCAAAATTTAAAAATTATCAAAGGGCTAGAGATGCAACTCAAGTGTTAGGGCACTGGTTCCATCTCTTGTACTGGGGGGCTGGTGAGATAGCTCAGTGAACTAAGCACCTGCTTAGGCAAGCTCAGGGGCCTGGGGTTCAATCCTCAACACCACATGCTGCACCAGGCCCTACCCCAGGCACACTGAGCTGGCCACTGAGACCGGGCGTGGTGGCCCACACCTGTAATCCCAGTGCTGAGAAGGCTGAAAAAGGGAGGATCACAGTCTGAGCTTGGAACAGGGGGAACTCTTGTACCAGGGCAGTTTTGGGGTAGAACAAATAGCATGAGGTCTCAATGAGCAGAAGGAAGGAGAAAATGAAACAGGGACAAATGTTTTCAGCAGAAGAGTCTTCACCACTTGGCCTCTGTCCTGCCTGATATCCCCGATCCTGAGCTGGTCAGGAGTGCTCGCTTCAGTAGCACATATGAAGGGTGACCAGTTCAAGGAGGAATGCAGAAGCCTGTGATGGGGAGAGGGCACCTGCCACTTACAGCTTGGTTTCTTAGCTGCTGTTCTTCCTCCACGCCCTTCATGCACACAACTCACTCCCAGAACACTTTCGCTGCAGTCTGGAAGTCTGGAAAATTTTCCCCAAAGGCTTCTGTGTGGACAGCTTGGTCCCCAGCCTGTGATGCATTTGGTGGAAACTTTAGGAGCTGAGGCCTTCGGGGAGGCATTGAGGCCACTGGGGGCTGCTTCTGAAGGGGATCCAGGAGCACCGGCCCCTCCCTCTGGCCCTGAGGTGAGCAGTTTCCTTGCTTTGTGCTCCCACCATGAGGCTCCGCTTCACAAGAGGCCCAAAGCAGAGAAGCCAAGCATCCAGGGACTAAAACCCCTTACACTGTGAGCCAAAATCAAATTTTTCTCCTTTAAAATCACTTATCTTAGGTCTCTTGTCCCAGTGATGAAAAGCTCATGCAACTTCCATACACAGTGAGGTCAGGATGCTGGGTCTAAAGAACTACTGAGTGTACCACGCATACCCCTGTGCATGGCCCTCGAGGCCCATGACGACCGGCCCCTCTGGTCTGTCTCATTGCATTATTCCTGGGTCACATCCTCTGCAGCTGCACTAACATTCATACCATGCTCTAAATGGACTGCAAATCCATATGCCTAATCCGGGCATGAATTAGGTGAGTGGAAAGGTCGGAGTGCTTGAGGAGTCAGAACGGATGGAAAGACGGCAAGCCAAGGAGCGCATGTGCCAAGCGAACTCTCTTCAGCCAGTGGCTGGGTATCAGGTCTTGAGAATTTTGAGAATATTTCCCTTCATTTGCTCCTCAACCTGCTGTATGCATGCTTTCAGATTATTTGCAGTTTTCTTAGCAATGTCTGTCAGCATTTCGTATTCTGAATCATGGTTGTTCGTGTACATTTTCATGATTATCCACCTGAGTAGTGGAATATAACCGGAAGTTCACTTCCCCCTGTTCAGGAGCTCTGAAAGCATCCTCACTTCTTTATCGCCTCCCGCCACTGGCAAAGCCATGCCTGACCGCAGACATTTCCTTCCCCTTTGGCTCTTTGGGGCAGGCGCACATGTTCTCCCACTTCCGGTGTGCCCTTCTCAGCCCCAGCGCTTTGGCCCATGCAGGCTCCTGACGAGCCTGCGCTGTAGAAGAGGCAGCAGGGCCGGCAGGTGGCCGAGGGGCGCATGGATGAAATTCCTGCAAACCCAGAATCTGGGGGCCTCTACGTTTAACTTTCCTAAGTCTTCTTTCCCCGCGACTTCATTTTGGCATTTCTCGTGGTTGGAAGGGTGAGAAGAAGCAGGTAGATGTGCTGCCGGAGAGACAGGAAGGAGAGTAATCCTCACTGCTACTGCGATGTGCACAAGCGGCCGGGCTGGGAGAGGCTCTTGGCATCAGCCTGTTACCTACAAGCTGCAAATAAGCCTCAGGTGCGAGCGAGCTACAAGCCAGAGGAACGAGCTCTGGGGCTCGTCTAATTATCATTGTGTTACGGTTTATACCTAGACGTCCCCTCAAAGGTTCACGGGCTCATAGGTGGGGCTTTGCGGGGTGACTGGTTTATGGGGTGTGGAACTCCTCGGAGCAGTAACACACTGAAGAGTTTGTAGCAAAACGCGATGTCAACAGGTGAAGCCTGGGCCGGGGAGATAGCTCAGTAGAATAAGCGCTTTTCTGGCAAGTGCAAGGTCCTGAGTTCAATCCCAGGTACGCGAAAGGAAGGAAGGAAGGAAGGAAGGAAGGAAGGAAGGAAGGAAGGAAGGAAGGAAGGAAAGAAGGAAGGAAAGAAGGAAAGAAGGAAGGAAAGAAGGAAAGAAGGAAGGAAGGAAGGAAGGAAGGAAGGAAAGAGGAAGGATGGAAGGAACCACAGGTGAAGCCTGGTTGAAGCCGGTGGATCGCTGGGGGCGTGGCCTGGAAGGGTGCCCATCCCTCTGGGTTTCCTGCGGCCGTATCATGGACCTTCTCTCCTCTGCCATCTCACCCTGCCTTGGAACCAGCGCGTGTGGACTGAAACCACTACAAACTGTGAGCCACCATAAACCTCTCTTCCTTTAACTCATGGGTGTTGAGTATTTCGACCCAGTTACAAGAGAGTAGTTAAGACAGGTGCCTTCAGCTTTCAGACCCTGGAGGTCCACGTGCTTCCTGGGTGAGTGTTTAGACTTGGCATCCCTGTACCCCTCCAGGGGAATGGCCACGACTTCTGGGAGAGAGCAGGGCTGCTTCTAGCTCACAGCCCTCCGGTGCTGCCCATGCTGGCTTCTGCGAGGACCTGCAGGGTCACGGAGTCGCGGCACGGGCTCTCCCTAAGTCCTTCATGCTACAACATCATTGCCGGTGGAGTCCACAGTCAAAGAACAAAGCTTGAGGTCAGACCCAGACCAGTCACATACGGGCAGGTCACCGTAACAAAGCAGCGTCACTCTCTGCGCCCTGCTGTCCTCTCTGATGAAGTAATGATGGGGGCAGGCCATGAGCTGCGCAAGGGGGCGTGGCCTGGTGATCACAGAGCCATCAATCACAGAGATTCAGGACACTGCTCCGAGCCCTGCACTTAATACGAATCTTAGGATGCTATCCTCAGCTCTTGGGGTCTTTGATAGGATGGATGGGCTTGATCTGCCCTCAGAGCGGGGGCATCAGAGATGGCAGTCATTAAGCTCGCAGCTGCTGTAAGCGGCTGCACCGGCTGGCCTTGATTTCGGCACAGCATATTTTCCTGTTTCACTGGCCCACACTCACCCTGCGGAGTATTTTTTTCTTTTCTTTTCTCTCCCAAAGCATTTCTTTTTTGTTTTTCTAGCTTTGCACAGTGGCAGTATCGTAGCCAATGAGGTTTATCCGAGGTGCAATTATTGCTAAACTTTTCTCTTTTTCTTTCTTTCTTTTTTTTTTTTTTTGAAACGAGGATTGAATTCAGGTCCTTGCACTTACCAGGCAAGCGCTTATTCTACTGAGCTATCTCCCCGGCCCCATCCCAAAACATTTCTTTTCCTTACTTTGTTTGTTTGTTTGTTTTGGTACTGGGGTTTGAACTCAGGACCAAGAGCTTCACTGAGCTATTTCCCCCTCCCTCTTTACTTTTGTTTTTGGCCAAACCAGAGATCAAACTCAAAGCCTTGCGCTTCCCAGGGAAGCACTTATTCTACTGAGCCATCTCCCCGGCCCCCTCCTTACTTTTAATAAGCTCAAAACCTCTATGTTGTTCACTTCTCTGAGATAGCAAGAGCCTGGGAAGGACCACTGGCAAGCACACCATCTGACATCTGTCACATAGGATTGTTGGGTTCCCAGCACTTGGGAAGTACTTGATAAATCCTATTTCCTGCTCAGTGGGCCCCAGATATTATTCACAGACCATCTTGACAATTCATGCCACAATTGTGTGACCCTTACCTAGCACTAAATACGATCTTCCCAAATACCTTGCTCTTGGTAGCTGGGGAGATAGAGAACTCAGTGGTCTAAGCACCTGCATGGCAAGTGCAAGGACCCAAGTTCGATCCCCGGTGCCTCAAGCCATGCTGGCCCTGGAATCGGGTGTAGTGGTGCATGCCTGTAATCCCAGCACTGGGGAGGATCAGACAGGAGGATCACTTTAAGTCTCAACTGCATAGTGAGACCCTGTATCAAATAAATAAATACATTTAATTAAATGAGCTTTTAAATTGGCAACATGCTAAGAGGTGATACCTAGAAAATCAATGTATTATTTCTTACATATCAAAATTAACATAGAACTAGTGAGATTTTAAAATGTTCATATCCAGAACCACCATGGTTTGTTAACTGTCAGTATACACTGACCTAATTCAACTGCAGTTCAGGGAGCTGAGGCTCAGAGAGGTGAAATAGATTTTCAAAGGTCACAGGGCTAGGTGACAAAAACCGGAAGTTGAGGAATTTGGGCGTCCCTCTAACTAGGCTGGCGTTCTGCGTGCGGCAGCAACCTTCTGGTTCAATGCAGTTCTTAAAAGGCACTTTGAAATGTACTGAAAGGGAACATCCTTTGTTAGCCTGACTTTAGGAAGCTGAAGGAAACCTTGTGCTAAATTGGCTACAAAGGAACCCTGCCTTTTGCGCACAGCAGTAGAAGGGGCTGAAAGCACAGCCTCACCTCATTTTACCCCTACGGGCCCTTGAGGGGCACTGCATAACAGTGAGGCTCAGGAACCTGAGTCCTGGAGCAGCCTGCCCGGCCCGGAGAAGCTAAGAGCGAAAGCCTCAGGCCAACGGCCTGGTTCTGATCACCTTCACCACCCACAGCCCTGACCTTGGACAAGTCACCGAGCCTTCCCCAACCTCAGCCCTGCTCTGCAACATTCTTACCAGGTTTTTGAAGACACAAAGTACTGTTCAGAGAAACTGTTCAATACAACAGGGGTAGCTTTGGTTTTTACTCCATCAGACATTTTCCTAGACCAGGTGATCACATGTAGTAAAATACAATTAGCTTTAAGACACAGTTTACAAGAACTCAGGCATACAAAAGCTGCTGCCCTGCACGATTGCATTTTGAACGTCTCCTCTAGTCTTGTGAGTCCATCATTCTGTGTATCTTTAATACAAAAATGTAATTACTGGGGGCCAGCCAAATAGCTCAGTGGATTAAAGTGCCTGCAAGCAGGCGCAGGGGCCACGGGTTTAATTCCTGGACCTGCCGTGCCATCCCTGCCCCTGGGGCGTGCTGAGATGGTGACTGAGACTGGCTGTGGGGACGCACCTGTAATTCCAGCTCTTGGAAGGCTGTAAACAGATCACTACGAGTCTGACCTAGTAGTGAGACCCTGAATACCCTGTAGACCCTTCCCTAAAAATACAAAAAAAAAAAAAAAGTAATTACGTTCCAAAAGTAAATTTTTCTGGAAATAAAACACCATGCTAAGCGGATTTGCCTTGGGGCGATATTTATGCCGCATTTGTGATTGGTCTATGGATAGACACAGGACTCCAGTTGGTCTAATTAGTGTTTCCTTTGTTGCCTGCCTGCCTGCCTGCCTGCCTGCTTTCCTTCTTTTCTTCCTTCTTTCCTTCCTTCCTTATGGTTGCTATTGCTCAGGCTGGTTGTTTTATCAGTCTGGTGACTGAGCCCAGGGCTTCACCCATGCTAGGCAAGTGCTCCACCCCAGGGCTGCATCCAGCTCTAAATTTATATTTTTGACTGACACATTAAAACTGTACATATTTATGGGCTACCATGTGATGATTTGATACACATATATATTGTGTAATGCTTACATGAAGTTAAATTATTTCCTCAAACTATTCTTTGTTTTGGGTTTTTTTTTTTTTTTTTTTTTTTTTTTTTTTGGCGGGGGGATGCAGCCAGAGGTACCAGGAATTGAACTCAGGACCTCATGCTTTTCCGGCAGGTGCTCTGCCACTGAGCTATATCCCCAGCCCCCTCAAACTATTCTTTACGGTGAAACATTCAGAATCCTATCTTGTAGCTTTCTGTGTGTCACACAGAATTGTATCTACAGCCCACCAGAATGTCATGTTTCTTTTTTCTTTTCCTTTTTTGTGACAAGGTCTACCTATAAAGTCCAGGCTGGCCTCAAACATCCAGTGACTCTCCTGCCTCAGCCTCCCGAGTGCTGGGATGGCAGGCATGCACCATCACACCCAACAGAATTTCATATTCCTGTTATGTAATGTCTACTGGTCAACCTTTCCCACCCCTCCTTCCTTCTGCCTCTCCCAGCCGCTGGTAACAGCCATCCCATTTCGAATGTCTATGAAATCAACTTTTTCCCCTTCACCACTGCCACAAGCAACCCAGGATCTGCCATCACTATAGATTAGTGTGCATTTTCTAGAATACTACATAAATGGAATAATACAAAACATACTCTCTATGTCTGGCTCTTTTCACTCAATGAAATTATTTTTTAATTTATATGTATTTTTGTATACCTATAAGTTTGTTTGTTTGTTTTGGCTAAATAGTAGTTCATTAACTGTACTTTGTTTATCTATTTTCGTTTTTCTTTTTTTTTCTTTTTTTTTTTTTTTGCGGAACCAGGGATTGAACTCAGGCTCTTGCGCTTGCCAGGGAAGCGCTTATTCCACTGAGCCATCTCCCCGGCCCCAAGTTTATCTATTTTCTTGTTGATGAGCAGTTCAATTGTTTCCAGCTTGGGGTTATTAAAAACCAAGCTGCTGTGCTGTACAGATAGCTCAGCGGATTAAAGCTGCTCTTAGGCAGAGCAGTGTCCAGGGTTTGATTCCCAGCATGCTGTGCCAGCCCTGCCCCCGGGGCGTGCTGAGACAACAATGGAAACTGGGCAGGTGGCGTGTGCCTGTAATCCCAGCACTTGGGAGGCTGAAAACAGGAGACTCACTATAAATCCAATCTGTGTAGTGAGATGCTGTAGACCCTGTAGACCCTGTCCTAAATGCCAAAAAAAAAAAGTGTGGTTTTTTCTTTTGTTTTGTTTTTGGTGCCAGGGACTGAACTGACAACCTTGCACTTGCCAGGCAGGTGCTTTAATATTTGTTTCTATAGTAAATAACATTTAGCATCTTTCCATGTACTTATTTGCCATATGTTTTTTTTTGTTTTTTTTTTTTTTGCCATCTGTATTTTTAAACAAGATACGAAATCGGCCTCCCAAGCCACTGCAACTGCAGACACAGACTACTATGCCCTGCTGGGGAGAAGTTCATAATTTTTTTGTATTTTAGGGAAGAGTCTACAGAGTCTCACTGCGTGGACTGAACTCGTAATGATCCTCCTGCTTACAGCCTCCCAAGCACTGGGATGACAGGTATGCACCAGCACACACAGTGTCAATCACCGCCTCAGCACATCGAGGGGATGGCCCGGGACGGCTGGCCTGAGGATCCAACCCCCAGCCCCTGCGTCTGCCTACGCAGGTGCTTCAATCCACTGAGCTATTTGGCTGGCCCTGGAGAAGTTCATAATTTTGATGAAGTTCACCTTATCAATTTTCTCTTGGAAGAACTGTGCTTCTTCATGGATATAATGGGACAAAGAGATGGACCTCTTGTACCAAGGAAGTGGTTGAAGGGAAAAAGCACGAGGGGTGAGGCGGAGGGGAAGGGGAGATAAGTGCTAGCTATGTGCAGGAAGCTCCTGAGCTAAGACTGATAATAAAAAAAAAAAAGTGTACTTTTCTTGCTTTTTTTTTTTTTTCCCCACAGTACCAGGGATTGAACTCAGGACCCTGCGCTTGCCAGGCAAGTGCTTATTCTACTGAGCTATCTCCCTGACCCACAAAAATGAAAAACAGGATGGGGCTTTGGAGGAGAAGGGGAGGAGAGCGAGGGAAGTGAAAGGGAATTTTAGAAAACCCAGCTGTGGCGTGTCCTTATCACCACTCATCAAGATGATTACAAACTACATGAAATACAGGCATGTACTAATAAAATGAAAAGTTAAGGGAAAGAAAAAGAATTGTGCTTTTGGGCTGGTCATGGTGACACCATCCTGTAAGCCCGACACTTGGAAGGCTGAGGCAGGAGGATCAATGAGTTCAAAGCCAGCTAGAGCTACATAGTGAGACCTTGTCTCTAAAAACCCCAAACAAGCCAGAATTACTGTTTTGGTTTTGGGACTCTTAGAAAGAAACATTGGCCTACCCAAAATCACAAAGATTTTTCCATACATTTTCTTCTAGAACTTTTATAGATTTGAATTTTGCATTTATAATCCAATTTGAATTAATTTCTGTTAACGGTGGGAGGTGTGGATTGAATTTTATTAAATAGTGTACAAAAAGGATATGAATATCTCACGGATCCTGTACCACTTGTTAAAATAATTTATCTTTTCTCCTGAGTTGCCTTTGTGTTTTCATTAGAAATCAGTTGGGCCAGGATGAGAGCTCGGAAGTATAAGCACCTGCCTAGCAAGTGCAAAGACCTTACAACCCCCAGTAGCAAAAAAAAAAAAAAAAAAAAAAAAAAGACAAAAAA